TTGAAAATCTGTGGAGGGAGCTGAAAGTTTGAGTTGCCAAACGTCAGCCACCAAACCTTAATGACTTGGAGAGGATCTGCCAAAGAGGAGTGGGCCAAAATCCTTCCTGAGGTGTGCGAACCTGGGGGCCAACTCCAGGAAACGTCTGACCTCTGTGATTGCCAACAAGGAATTGGCCACCAAGTACTAAGTCATGTTTTGTGAAGGGGATCAAATCCTTCTTTCCCTCATGAACATGCAGATCCGTCATCATTTGTTAGACGCATTTCTGCTGAATTTGTTGTTGTATTCTGTCTCTCAGTGTTACACCGAACATTCCATTGTTAGACCGATCATTTCTGTGTGAGGGGCGCGAACATTCCATTGTTAGACCGATCGTTTTCTGTGTGAGGGGCGAACATTCCATTGTTAGACCGATCATTTCTGTGTGAGGGGCGAACATTCAGCATCAGAGGGGAGCAAATACACATTTCCTGTATATACTGTATGTTGAAATGCGTTTTTTATATATTACAAAATATATAAAAAGTATTTTTACAAATATAAATATAAATGTGTATGTATGTGTATGTATGTATATATACAGTTGTGGCCAAAATTATTCAACCCCCAATGCTGTAAAGGGGTTTAGGGACTATAAGTGTACATTTGGAATTGTATTCAGAATCAAATCCTACAAGGACGTTGTAACTACCCAAATGCAACTAAAATGACATCAATTGTTTATGTAATACAGTAGTAAATGGGTTCTTATGTGGTTTCTTCATTGCCACAATTATTCAACCCCTTAAAGACTACCACTCTGAAGAACAGAGGTTCATACAGGTGCTTTCCATCAGGTATTGAAAACACCTGTGGATGTCACCGAGCAGCAATCAAGCATAATAAGCACCAATTAGGCAGCTTTAAAATGACTGTGATACTCAGCTCCTTCTAGACATTTACTGTGTGTGGTTACAAACATGGTGAAGGCAAGAGAATGGTCCAGGAAGACAAGAGAAGAGGTGATTTCTCTTCACAGGAAGGGCAATGGCTATAAGAAGATTGCAAAGATGTTAAACATACCAAGAGACACCTTAGGAAGCATCATTCGCAAATTCAAGGCAAAGGGCACTGTTGAAACGCTACCTGGTCGTGGCAGAAAGAAGATGCTGACTTCGACTGCTGTGCGCTACCTGAAGCGCGTAGAGTGGAGAGAAGTCCCCGTGTGACTGCTGAGGAACTGAGAAAAGATTTGTCAGATGTGGGTACAGAAGTTTCAGCCCAGACAATAAGACGCACACTGCGTAATGAAGGCCTCCGGCCAGAACTCCCAGGCGTACCCCCTTGCTGTCTCCAAAGAATAAGAAGAGTCGACTGCAGTATGCCAAAAGCCATGTGGACAAACCACAAAAGTTGTGGGATAGTGTTCTGTGGACTGATGAAACAAAATTAGAACTGTTTGGGCCCATGGATCAACGCTATGTTTGGAGGAGGAAGAACAAGGCCTATGATGAAAAGAACACCTTGCCTACTGTGAAGCATGGTGGAGGGTCAATCATGCTTTGGGGCTGTTTTGCTTCTGCAGGTACAGGGAAGCTTCAGCGTGTGCAAGTACCATGAATTCTCTTCAGTACCAGGAGATATTGGATGGAAACGTGATGCAGTCCGTCACACACCTGAGGCTTGGGAGACGTTGGACCTTTCAAAACAGGACAATGATCCCAAGCATACCTCCAAGTCCACTAGAGCATGGTTGCAGAGGAAAGGCTGGAACATTTTGGAGTGGCCATCGCAGTCACCAGACTTAAATCCGATTGAGAACCTCTGGTGGGACTTAAAGAAAGCAGTTGCAGTGCGCAAGCCTAAGAATGTGACTGAACTGGAGGCCTTTGCCCATGAAGAATGGGCGAAGATACCCGTAGATCGCTGCAAGACACTTGTGTCAAGCTATGCTTCACACGTTTAAAAGCTGTTATAACTGTAAAAGGATGCTGTACTAAGTACTAAGATTGAATGTCACTTGGGGGTTGAATAAAACTGATAATGCTGTGAGCACAGAAAAGACATTTGTGGTTATTTCATTATAACTGTTAATGTTATATTTGTCTGACCTACAAGTGCCTCTTTAATGTAAATGTAAGCAAGATGACTGAATGATCAAAAGCAATGTCCAAACTGGCCAAAACACTCAATTTCAGTGGGGGTTGAATAATTTTGGCCACAACTGTATATATATATATATATATAATATATATAAATTTATTTTGAAATTATTGAATATGGCCAAAATTGTAGCATTTCAAATATATGTTAAACCACCCCCTCCAGTCCGGACACTTTCCCCCCTTTCCAGTCCGGACACTTCCCCCCCCCCTTCCAGTCCGAGACACTTTCAGTTCCAGGACACTTTCCCCCCCTTCCAGTCCGGACACTTTCACCCCCCCTTCCAGTCCGGACACTTTCCCTTCCAGTCCGGACACTTTCACCCCCCCTTCCAGTCCGGACACTTTCACCCCCCCTTCCAGTCCGGACACTTTTCAGTCCGGACACTTTCACCCCCTTCCAGTCCGGACACTTTCCCCCCCTTCCAGTCCGGACACTTTCCCCCCCTTCCAGTCCGGACACTTTCCCCCCCTTCCAGTCCGGACACTTTCCCCCCCTTCCAGTCCGGACACTTTCCCCCCTTCCAGACACTTTCCCCCCCTTCCAGTCCAGACACTTCCCCCCCTTCCAGTCCGGACACTTTCCCCCCCTTTTCCAGTCCGACACTTTCCCCCCTTTCCAGTCCGGACACTTTCCCCCCCTTCCCCCCCTTCCTGTCCAGGCCAATTTTCAGCTTTCAGCTTTCAGCTTTCAGCTCTATCACACTTTGAATGACAATTGCAACGGTCATGCAACACTGTACCCAAATGAAATTTTTAGCATTTTTTTGAGACAGATAAATCTTTATTTTGGTGGTATTTATTCACCGCTGGGATTTTTTTTTTTTTTTTTCTGCTATGTAAATAAAAAAGTTTAAAAATTTTGAAAAATAGTGTTTTTCTTATAAAATTTTGCAAATAAATAATATTTCATCATAAATCTTGGCCAAAATTTATTCCGTTATCTTTTTAGTAAAAAAAAAAATAACCCAAATTAGTTTATAACCACAAATTATAATTTTCTTTTTTTTTTTTTTTACTTTTTTTTTTTTCTATATTATTAATGTTTTTTTTTTACATACTGTCACCCTAGCAGTACACTATCACCATGGTGACACTGTACTACTTGTGGGGGGTGATGAAGATTTTTTTTTTTTTTTTACACTGATTGCTTTTACACCCATAAAGGCTGTAAAAGCAATAATTTCTCCTTCTCTCTGTCTGCATTTCTGCAGCCATTGAGAAATACTGTGTGAGCTGTGATTGGTCACAGCTTGTCACATGGTACAAGGCTGTTGTGAATGGCCCTGTACCATGTGATCTCTGTGATCATTCGCAGATTTCACACGTAGTAAGCAATGATGTCACAAGTGACATCTTGCTTACTACTACTTTGCATGTGATCACTGATTGGCCAATCAGTGATCACATGATCGGGACCTCGCACAGAGGTCCATTACAGCTATCTGTGTTCCACTGTGTCTGGATCGCGGTGCGCACCTTCCCGGGGAGCACAGAGGTCCCGTCCGACGATTGGTGTTCCACTGTGTCCAGGGAGCACGACCAAGCAGGGGGCGGGGAGGTTGTTTATAAACGGCCACCCGGCCCTGCGCTGCCACCGTCCGACCGTTTATATACATGGGCCGGATGGGAGGTGGTTAATATATTTGGGAAGAATATTTTTCAAATATATTTTTCAAATATATTTCTCTTCCATGTGGGATTGTACGCCCCTTGAGGGCGGGGACTGGTGGGAATGTACAATATATATGTAAAGCGCGGGGTAAATTGATGGCGCTATATAAGTACCTGAAATAAATAAATAATAAGATGCGGCTGAACGACGTGGTACAGGGGAGGGAGGGGGGGGGGAACCCTGGGATCTCTCCTCTTTTAGACGTTCGCTTTTCCTTTTCTCATGCTTTCCGGTGTCCTGGCAGATGAAAGCTTCGTCTCCTACAGTAAGTTCACGCTGGGAATCAGGTATGTTAATTCTTACCAGCGACGTGAATGGCTGGCGGAGCCGGACTCGCAGTAAAGCATTCCGGGGGGCGTTTATGGCGCACATCTGCGCAGCACGTGGTCCTGCGTCTGTGAGATGCCGCGGAGATGACGGGCCTCGCAGTTTATCTGTAAATGATCACCAGACCGCAGTGATGCACCAATCTCATTCCCAGGGATGGGCTCAGTCCCAACATCCCACCATCGGGAAACGACGGCCGCCATATTCCCTTCCACCGCCAGGGGGACGCCAGGAGACGTCGCAGAGAATTCTTGGAATAACATGAAAAGATGACTGGGAACAATTAGGTGCAATTTTCAGCCATAAAATGCTTTGGATGGAACTGGGTGAATGGAAAATCGCACACAGGGCGACGCAGCCTTCTACGGGGACGTTTGTTTCCCCCTGAAGTCATGAGTGGGGGAGGGGAATCATACCTTAGGCTCAGGCACATGGCGTTGGCCACTCATAGCCGCCTCCTTGTTATTTTTGCTCGGCATTCCCTGCCTGCTGCTGACGGGATTCACATTTTAAAAAAAGACTTCAAATAGAAATGTATATTATAAATAAAATATTACACTGACATTCAAGTGTCACTAAACCCGCCGCAGTACAATCAGTCTGTAGATGCGGCAAAGCAATCACTGCGGGATCCTAAGGGGTTAATCCTCCGCCTTGTGTAAAAAGGCTGTTTGATCCTGTCTCCTCTGATCCTCCCCTTCTTCCAGTGTCCCCCTCTTATCTCCTTGGTAAGACATATTGTGCACATGCTCAGTTTGATGTGTATTGCTAGAGAGGTTTTTTTTTTTTGGGTGTGCATGTGATTAGCACAGGGCCAATCACCACTGTCCAGACCAGGGGTGGACTGACAACTCATGGGGCCCCCCGGGCAATAGGGGATCATGGGGCCCCTGTGTCCTTGCCCAAACTCAAAAAAGCCTATGAAAAAGGTACCAGGGGCATCTCATGGGGCCCCCTACTGACCCCGGGCCCTCGGGCAGTGCCGGAGTTTCCAAATGGTCAGTCCGCCCCTGGCCACGCCCACGGTGCTTTTTAACTGGGGGTGCCTGCAGTTCAATGAGGCCGACTCTGCAAATGCATTCAATTGTGGCACAGTGATGTGGCTTTATAGGGTGAGGATGCTTCCTCCCTGCCAGTCAACTGCCCTCTGAAAAGCAATCAGAACATGGATCGCGGTTCGGAGAGCACCACACTCCACTGCGAACACTTAATCTGTGCGTGGTCTTGCAGCGGAGATAGATGCAGCATAGAAGAGGACATCATGGAGGCGATGGCAGTGGAGGGTGTTGGGTGGTAACAGGAGTTTCCTTTGTTCCTGTGGTCCCAGGAGACGATCCCAGGAGACGATCCCAGGAGACGATCCCAGAGACGATCTCAAGAGACGATCCCCGGAGATGATCCCAGGAGACGATCTCAAGAGACGATCCCAGGAGACGATCCCAGGAGACGATCTCAAGAGACGATCCCAGGAGACGATCTCAAGAGACGATCCCAGGAGACGATCTCAAGAGACTATCCCAGGAGACCATCCCAGGAGACCATCCCAAGAGAGGATCCTAGGAGACCATCCCAAGAGACGATCCCAGGAGACCATCCCAGGAGACCACCCCAGGAGACCATCCCAAGAGACCATCCCAGGAGACGATCCCAAGAGACCATCCCCGGAGACGATCCCAGGAGAGAGTCCCAGGAGACCATCCCAGGAGACTATCCCAAGAGACGTGTCATCTACTCACGTCTTCACACCTCTCCATCTGTCCAAATGGTTAAAAGGAAAATCTTCTGTTTTGTTGCCTCTTTTATCGGCTGCCCAAGACTCAACCACAGAACCACATCAATCAATCCACCCCCGGCCCCCATAACCCCCAGAATTATGACAGCTGCGATCTGACCGGCAGCCATAAATATCACCTCTCCTGTATTCATTATGTAACCCCCTGTGATGTCATTGGCCATGGCGACCCTCATAGCCGAAGAAAGCTTCTGACACTTTAAGGACATCTGTTAGGAAACAAACACGGCTTTGTGAGAAACCTTAAAGAGTAACTCCACTTTGGTTGAGAAAAACAAAAACTCCCCTCTGGGTGATCTACACTATATTGCCATAAGTATTGGCCCCGCCCTCCCAATCATGTGATTCAGGTGTTCCAATCCCCTCCAAATCATATGATTCAGGTGTTCCAATCCCCTCCATATCACGTGATTCAGGTGTTCCAATCCCCTCCCAATCATGTGATTCAGGTGTTCCAATCCCCTCCCAATCATGTGATTCAGGTATTCCAATCCCCTCCCAATCATGTGATTCAGGTGTTCCAATCCCCTCCATATCATGTGATTCAGATGTTCCAATCCCCTCCATATCATGTGATTCAGGTGTTCCAATCCCCTCCATGGACACAGGTGTATACAATCAAGCCCCTAGGCATGCAGACTGCTTCTACAAACATTGGTGAAAGAATGGGTCGCTCTCAGGAGCTCAGTGACTCCAAGCGTGGTCCCGTGATAGGTGGCCACCTGGGCAATAAGTCCATCCGTGACATTTCCTGGCTACTAAATGTTCCACGCTCAACTGTTAGTGGGATTATAACAAAGTGGAAGCAACTGGGAACAACAGCCACTCAGCCACCAAGTGGTAGCCACGTCACATGACAGGGCAGGGTCAGCGCATGCTGAAGCGCACAGTGCGCAGAAGTCACCAACTGTCTGCAGAGTCAATAGCTAAAGACCTCCAAACTTGGTGTGGCCTTCAGATGAGCCCAACAACAGTGCGTAGAGAGCTTCATGGAATGGGTTTCCATGGCTGAGCAGCTGCATCCAAGCCTTCCATCACCAAGTGCAATGCAAAGCGTCAGATGCCTTGGTGTAAAGCAAGCCGCCACTGGACTCTAGAGCAGTGGAGACGTGTTCTCTGGAGTGACCAATCACGCTTCTCTGTCTGGCAATCCAATGGACGTTTCTGGGTTTGGCGGTTGCCAGGAGAACGGTACTTGCCTGACTGCATTGTGCCAAGAGTAAAGTTTGGTGGAGGGGGGATTATGGTGTGGGGTTGTTTTTCAGGGATTGGGCTTGGCCCCCTAGTTCCAGTGAAGGGAACTCTTAAGGCGACATTTTGGACACTTTCATGCTCCCAACTTTGTGGGAAGAGTTTGGGGATGGCCCCTTCCTGTTCCAACATGACTGCCCACCAGTGGACAAAGCAAGGTCCATAAAGACATGGAGGAGCCAGTTTGGGGTGGAGGAACTTGACTGTCCTGCACAGAGTCCTGACCTCAACCCCATAGAACACCTTTGGGATGAATTAGAGCGGAGACTGTGAGCCAGGCCTCCTCCCCCGACATCAGTGCCTGACCTGACAAATGTGCTTCTGGAAGAATGGTCCAACCTTCCCATAGACACCCTCCTAAACCTTGTGGACGGCCTTCCCAGAAGAGTTGAAGCTGTTATAGGTGCAAAGGGCGGGGCCAACTCAATATTGAACCTTACGGACTAAGACTGGGAGGCCATAAAGGTCGTGTGGAAAGGGCGGGGCCAACTCAATATTGAACCCTACGGACTGAGACTGGGGGGCCATTAAATGTGCGTCATCAATATTGAACCCTACGGACTGAGACTGTGGGGGGCCATTAAAGGTCATGTGTGTGGAAAGGGCGGGGCCAACTCAATATTGAACCCTACGGACTAAGACTGGGAGGCCATAAAGGTTGTGGAAAGGGCGGGGCCAACTCAATATTGAACCCTACGGACTGAGACTGGGGGGCCATTAAAGGTCATGTGCGTGGAAAGGGCGGGGCCAACTCGATATTGAACCCTACAGACTACGGGAGGTCATAAAGGTCACTGGGAAGGCCAACTCGATATTGAAAGGTGGGGGGCATGTGTGTGTGGAAAGGCCGGCAGCCAATACTGGGGGTAATATAGTGTATGTAACAAACGTTGTAGCAGATTCCTGTTTCTGCTCTTCGATGAAAACGCGGTTTGTTGTGTGTAAAGTGAACCAGGAGTGACTTCTTCATTATCAATCAGCTTGCTGAGTAAAGCACGCCATATATGGGTCAAATTCCGAACGATTTTTCAATCGAAAATCAAAAACGTCCTTTGTTCTGTAAGCTGACGGTGCCACCAATGATTTCGAAAATTGGTCGTTTTTCAAACATTTTCCAACATGTCCGATAAACAAAATAGGGAGGAACCACGAAATTTGGCCGGTGCCATCGCCCCACTAGCAGAGCAAAAAATCGTCCGATTATTCTTAGGTCTGATTTTACAAACAAAAGATCGTTGAGAAATCGACCCGTGTATGGCCGGCTTAAAGGAGGGTTATTACCCAGCTCAGGATTTTTCTTGTTTCTTTTTTTACCATCTGTGTCCCATTGTGGAGATTTCCCTTCACTTCCTGTCCCCATAGCCATACAGGAAAATTATTCTCTAAGTAGAACTAAAAGCTAAATGTTTTTTCTGATTGGATGGAGTGGGGGAGGGTTATACCCAGGGGCAGACTGGCAACTCATGGGGCCCCGGGCCCACACTCAAACCACACCCAAAAAAGCCTATGAAAGGTACCAAGGGCATCTCATGGGGCCCCCTACTGACCCCGGGCCCTCGGGCTTTGGGAATGGTCAGTCCGCCCCTGGTTATAACTCCTGTCAGGTATTTTGCACCCCATTGGGGAGATTTCCCTTCACTTCCTGTCCCGTGGCCAAAACAGGAAGTGAGAGGAAATCCCTCCAAAGTGAAGGAATCCCTGGTTGTCATCAGAACTAGGGTCCCCATTGGGAGATTTCCCCTCTAATCCTGTTCTGGGGACAACCCAAAATTTGGGATTTTCTTTGTATTTTCAATGATCATGGTAAACGGGACAAACAGAAAGGGGAATGTCCCTGACGGGGCCACAGACAGCAATAAAAAAACTGACAGGGGGCCTAATCCCCCCCACTCCATCCAAAAGTAAAAAAAAAAATGTTTTGCCTCTAGTTATACTTTAACCCATTGGGAGAATCTCACCATAAATGACATTGTTGTTGCAGGGGATGCCCAAAATCTGGTTTGTATCTCGGGGAAAATCAGTGAGCCAATCACACAAGCAGGAAATGACATATCTGTGTGGGGTGTGTGTGTGTGTGTGTGTGTGGGGGGGGGGGGGGGGTGCTCCATATACCATCTGTGTACAGAGCGCCTCCAGGTGGCCAGAAAATGAGCAGATTGAGGAGGAAAGGTTGATTTTAGTAACATTCAGTTAATGACATTACATTTGGCTCTTGTAGCAATCAGATACAGCACGTTACATTGTTTTTTTTATCTGTTATTATTTTCCCACGAAGGTGGAGTTACCCTTTAACCCCTTGCCTACCGGGCACTTATACCCCCTTCCTGCCTACCGGGCACTTCTACCCCTTCCTACCACCCACCCCTTCCTACCCCCGGGCACTTCTACCCCTTCCTGCCCCCGGGCACTTCCTGCCTCCACTTCTACCCCCTTCCTGCCTACCGGACACTTCTACCCCCCCTTCCTGCCTACAGGGCACTTCTACCCCCCTTCCTGCCTACCGGACACTTCTACCCCCTTCCTGCCTACCGGGCACTTCTACCCCCTTCCTGCCTACAGGGTACTTCTACCCCCTCCTGCCTACAGGACACTTCTACCCCCTTCCTGCCTACAGGACACTTCTACCCCCCTTCCTGCCTACCGGGCACTTCTACCCCCTTCCTGCCTACAGGGCACTTCTACCCCCTTCCTGCCTACCTGGCACTACTTCTACCCCCTTCCTTCCTGCCTACCGGGACACTTCTACCCCCTTCCTGCCTACCGGGCACTTCTACCCCCTTCCTGCCTACAGGGCACTTCTACCCCCTTCCTGCCTACAGGGCACTTCTACCCCCTTCCTGCCTACAGGCACTTCTACCCCCTTCCTGCCTACCGGGCACTTCTACCCCCTTCCTGCCTACAGGGCACTTCTACCCGCCCCTTCCTGCCTACCGGGCACTTCTACCCCCTCCTGCCTATTGGGCACTTCTACCCCCTTCCTGCCTACCGGGCACTTCTACCCCCTTCCTGCCTACCGGGCACTTCTACCCCCTTCCTGCCTACAGGGCACTTCTACCCCCTTCCTGCCTACCGGACAGTACTTCTACCCCCTTCCTGCCCACTGGGCACTTCTACCCTTTCCTGCCTACAGGGCACTTCTACCCCCTTCCTGCCTACCGAGGGCACTTCTACCCCCTTCCTGCCCACTGGGCACTTCTACCCCCTTCCTGCCTACAGGGCACTTCTACCCCCCTTCCTGCCTACCGAGCACTTCTACCCCCTTCCTGCCTACAGGACACTTCTACCCCCTTCCTGCCTACAGGACACTTCTACCCCCTTCCTGTCTGCCGGGCACTTCTACCCCCTTCCTGCCTACAGGGCACTTCTACCCCCTTCCTGGCTACCGGGCACTTCTACCCCCTTCCTGCCTACCGGGCACTTCTACCCCTTTCCTGCCTACCGGGCACTTCTACCCCCTTCCTGCCCGCCGAGCACTTCTACCCCCTTCCTGCCTACAGGACACTTCTACCCCCTTCCTGCCTACAGGACACTTCTACCCCCATCCTGTCTGCCGGGCACTTCTACCCCCTTCCTGTCTACAGGACACTTCTACCCCCTTCCTGCCTACAGGGCACTTCTACCCCTTTCCTGCCTACCGAGTACTTCTACCCCTTTCCTGCCTACCGGGCACTTCTACCCCCTTCCTGCCCGCCGACCACTTCTACCCCCTTCCTGCCTACAGGACACTTCTACCCCCTTCCTGTCTACAGGACACTTCTACCCCCTTCCTGCCTACAGGGCACTTCTACCCCTTTCCTGCCTACCGAGTACTTCTACCCCCTTCCTGCCCGCCGACCACTTCTACCCCCTTTCCTGCCTACCGGGCACTTCTACCCCCTTCCTGCCCGCCGACCACTTCTACCCCCTTCCTGCCTACAGGGCACACTTCTACCCCCATCCTGTCTGCCGGGCACATCTACCCCCCCATGCAACACTGTACCCGTATGACATTTTTATTATTTTTTATCACACACATAGAGCTTTCTTTTGGTGGTATTTACTCCCCGCTGGGGGTTTTACTTTTTTCGCTATAAACAAAAAAAGAGCAAAAAATTGGAAATAAAAAAGTTTCTTTCCTGTTTCTATTATAAAATATTGCAAACAGGTAATTTTTTATCCTTCACTGATGTGTGTTGATGAGACTGCACTGATGGGCACTGATAGGCGGCACTGATAGGCGGCACTGATAGGCGGCACTGGTGAGCACTGATAGGCGGCACTGATGGGCACTGATAGGCAGCACTGATAGGCAGCGCTAATGAGGCGGCACTGATGGGCACTGACAGGCGGCACTGATAGGAAGCGCCAGGGGCAGACTGACAACTCATGGGGCCCCGGGCAATAGGAGATCATGGGGCCCCTGTGTCCTTGCCAAACTCAAAAAAGCCTATGAAAAAGGTACCAGGGGCATCTCATGGGGCCCCCTACTGACCCCGGGCAGTGCCCGAGTTTCCAAATGGTCAGTCCACCCCTGGGCAGCGCTGAGGTGGCACGGATAGGCGGCACTAACAGGTGGCACTGCTAGGCACTGACTGGCGGCACTGCTGGGTTGTACTGATGGGCACAGGTGGGTGGCACTACTGGGCACAGATGGGAACCCCCTGGTGGGCACTTGTGGGCAGAACTGGTGGGCGGCACTGCTGGGTTGTACTGATGGGCACAGGTGGGCGGCACTGCTGGGTTGTACTGATGGGCACAGGTGGGTGGCACTGCTGGGTTGTACTGATGGGCACAGGTGGGCGGCACTGCTGGGTTGTACTGATGGGCACAGGTGGGCGGCACTGCTGGGTTGTACTGATGGGCACAGGTGGGCGGCACTGCTGGGTTGTACTGATGGGCACAGGTGGGTGGCACTGCTGGGTTGTACTGATGGGCACAGGTGGGTGGCACTGCTGGGTTGTACTGATGGGCACAGGTGGGCGGCACTGCTGGGTTGTACTGATGGGCACAGGTGGGCGGCACTGCTGGGTTGTACTGATGGGCACAGGTGGGCGGCACTGCTGGGTTGTACTGATGGGCACAGGTGGGTGGCACTGCTGGGTTGTACTGATGGGCACAGGTGGGTGGCACTGATGGGCACCGATCATCGGTGACATCACTCAGTCTAAAATAAGATATGTAATGAAAACCAAACGGACTCCATTATCATGTGGATGGGGGAGGGAAGGAAGAACATGCATTAAACTGCAGTTCATGTATGCATGCGTGTTCCTCTCGGAGGCCATTCTGCATGTAGACTCCTCCATGACACGGAGCGCTGTGACACGCGTGTCCTGCTGGGTGTGTGTTTGTCTTGCAGTGTTGATGTAGCAGACGTTTGGTTTACACAAGTTTTGCTCTGACCCTCCAGTCCATCTCCCAGCGCCCTGGGTGTGTTATTATAAGATGGGAGCCCCCCCTCTCTGGCGTCCCCCCCCTCCCCCATCCATGTGTGGTCTCCCTTCATCTGCTGTTTGTTTTACTAACCTTTATATAGAGGAAAGGGGGACATTTTATTCCATGAATGGAGCGCACTATTCCGTCCACAAACACGCCCCGGACTCCGACGTTCCCACATCACAATGAATCAGGGAGCAAACCCTAGCCAATCCTAGGTGACCACAGACCCCGGCCAATCCTAGGTGACCACAGACCCCGGCAAATCCTAGGTGACCACAGACCCCGGCAAATCCTAGGTGACCACAGACCCCGGCCAATCCTAGGTGACCACAGACCCCGGCCAGTCCTAGGTGACCACAGACCCCGGCCAATCCTAGGTGACCACAGACCACAGACCCCAGCCAATGATAGGTGACCACAGACCCCAGCCAATCCTAGGTGACCACAGACCCCAGCAAATCCTAGGTGACCACATACCCCGGCCAATCCTAGGTGACCACAGACTCCGGCCAATACTAGATGACCACAGACTCCGGCCAATACTAGGTGACCACAGACTCCGCCAATCCTAAGGTGACCACAGACCCCGGCCAATCCTAGGTGACCACAGACCCCAGCCAATCCTAGTGACCACAGACTCCGGCAAATCCCAGGTGACCACATACCCCGGCCAATCCTAGGTGACCACAGACTCCAGCCAATCCTAGGTGACCACAGACTCCAGCAAATCCTAGGTGACCACATACCCAGGCCAATCCTAGGTGACCACAGACTCCGGCCAATACTAGGTGACCACAGATTCCGGCCATTCCTAGGTGACCACAGACCCCGGCCAATCCTAGGTGACCACAGACCCCGGCCAATCCTAGGTGACCACAGACCCCAGCAAATCCAAGGTGACCACATACCACAGCCAATCCTAGGTGACCACATACCCCGGCCAGACCTAGGTGACCACAGACCCCGGCCATTCCTAGGTGACCACAGACCCCTGCCAATGCTAGGTGACCACAGACTCCGGCCAATATTAGGTGACCACAGACTCCGGCCAATCCTAGGTAACCACAGACCCCAGCAAATCCTAGGTGACCACATACCCCAGCCAATCCTAGGTGACCACATACCCCGGCCAGACCTAGGTGACCACAGACCCCGGCCATTCCTAGGTGACCACGGACCCCGGCCAATGCTAGGTGACCACAGACTCCGGCCAATACTAAGTGACCACAGACTCCGGCCAGACCTAGGTGACCACAGACTCTAGCCAATCCTAGGTGACCACAGACCCCGGCCTGTCCTACATGACCAGAGATTCCGGCCAATTCTAGGTGACCACAGACCCTGGCCAATCCTAGGTGACCACAGACTCTTGCCAATCCTAGATGACCACAGACTCCAGCCAATCATAGGTGACCAGAGACCCCAGCTAATCCTATGTAACCACTGATCCCAGCCAATCCTAGGTGACCACAGACTACGGCCAATCCTAGGTGACCACAGACTCTGGCCCATCCTAGGTGACCACAGACCCCGGCCCATCCTATGTGACCACAGACCCCGGCCAATCCTAGGTGACCACAGACCCCGGCCATCCCTAGGTGACCACAGACCCCAGCCAGTCCTAGGTGACCACAGACCCCAGCCAATCCTAGGTGACCACAGACCCCAGCCCATCCTACGTGACCACAGACTCCGACCAATCCTAGGTGACCACAGACCCCAGCCAATCCTTGGTGACCACAGACCCCAGCCAATTCCGTGTGACCACAAACCCCGGCCAATCACATGTGAACACACAAACCCCGGCCAATCCTGCATGACCACAGACCCTGACCCGCCTTGTGTGACCACAGACCCTGGCCCGTCTTGCGTGACCACAGACCCCAGCCCGTCTTGTGTGACCACAGACCCCGGGCCATCTTGCGTGACCACAAACATTCTGTTTTTCACTCGTTTTGCATTTGGCTCGGGTCAGTGTCACTACTGGTAGCATGAGGCCATACCTGGACCCTACAGAGGTTGCACAGGCAGTCCAACTCCTCCAGGATGGCACATCAATACGTACCATTGCCAGAAGGTTTGCTGTGTCTCCCAGCACAGTCTCAAGAGCAGAGGAGATTCCAGGAGATGAGAGCATGGAGGAGATTCCGGGAGACAGTCAGTTACTCTAGGAGAGCTGGACAGGGCCGTAGAAGGTCCTTAACCCATCAGCAGGACTGGTATCTGCTCCTTTGTACAAGGAGGAACAGGATGAACCCTGCCAGAGCCCTACAAAATGACCTCCAGCAGGCCATTGGTGTGAATGTCTCTGACCTAACAATCAGAAACAGACTACATGAGGGTGGCCTGAGGGCCCGACGTCCTCTAGTGGGCCCTGTGCTCACTGCCCAGCACCATAGAGCTCAATTGGTATTTGCCATTAAACACCAGAATTGACAGGTCCTCCAATTCTGTATAGACAGATAAACACACACTTAGAAATAATTGTAAACAGACATTTAAAATGTAATAAAACATAGATGGTGTCAGTAGGGCAGAAGACGTTGTCAGTAGGGCAGTGGATGGTGTCAGTAGAGCACTGGATGGTGTCAGTAGAGCAGTGGATGGTGTCAGTAGAGCACTGGATGGTGTCAGTAGAGCAGTGGATGGTGTCAGTAGAGCACTGGATGGTGTCAGTAGAGCAGTGGATGGTGTCAGTAGGGAAGTGGATGGTGTTAGTAGAGCAGTTGACGTTGTCAGTAGAGCAGTGGATGGTGTCAGTAAGACAAGACATTGTCAGTAGGGCAGTGAATGGTGTCAGTAGGGCAGTGGGTGGTGTCAGTAGAGCAGTGGATAGTGTCAGCAGGGCAGTAGATGGCATCAGTAGGGTAGAAGACATCAGTATGGCAGTGAATGGTGTCAATAGACCAGTGGATGGTGTCAGTAGGGCAGTGGATGGTGTCAGAAGAGCAGAGAATGGTGTCAGTAGGGCAGAAGACATTGTCAGTAGGGCAGTGGGTGGTGTCAGTAGAGCAGTGGACGGTGTCAGTAGGGCAGAAGACGTCAGTAAGGCAGTGGATGGTGTCAGTAGGGCAGTGGACGGTGTCAGTAGAGCAGAGGATGGTGTCAGTAGGGCAGTGGATGGTGTCAGTAGGGCAGAAAATGTCAGTAGGGCGGTGAATGGTGTCAGTAGGGCAGTGGGTGGTGTCAGTAGAGCAGAGTATGGTGTCAGTAGGGCAGTGGATGGTGTCAGTAGGGCAGTGGGTGGTGTCAGTAGAGCAGTGAATGGTGTCAGTAGGGTAGTGGATGGTGTCAGTAGAGCAGTGGACGGTGTCAGTAGAGCAGAGGATGGGGTCAGTAGGGCATTGGATGGTGTCTGCAGGTCAGTGGGTGGTGTCAGTAGAGCAGAGTATGGTGTCAGTAGGGTAGTGGATGGTGTCAGTAGAGCAGTGGACGGTGTCAGTAGGGCATTGCATGGTGTCTGTAGGTCACGGTGTCAGTAGAGCAGTGGACGGTGTCAGTAGGGCATTGGATGGTGTCTGTAGGTCAGTGGATGGGGTCAGTAGGGCAGTGGATGGTGTCACTAGTCTTTTTATTTTTATTGTTGTTTTTTTATTATTTTTTACAATTTTATTTCCTGGTGAGTTTAACCATTCACTCAGAGGTGGATTGTGACACAATTGGAACAAATTGCTTCATCATATGGTAGTGGTGATGTCACCGATTTTTGCATGGATTATGTTAGGGACTTTATATATTTCTTGATATTTCACAGACGATTTCATTGTATTTGATCATTATATATATATATATGGTTTATGCAATCTTTTTGGCGCTGCGCATTTATT